GAAGCCATGTGGGTAAGAAAAGCGCAAATCTGAGGAGGAAATTTTACAACAGAAGCAAATTTAATTGTATGTCTTGAGGTTGAAGGAGAGCTGTAGTCATATAGGGACAAGTATAATTGACTGTCGATTAGGTGATCATTTGTCCCAATCCCATGGAGAAAAATAAAAAATAGAATTATCCCAGCTGTTAAGTTGACCCAGCCTTTTCTCTGTGTGAATTCTGGTGCAAACGAATAGACCCACGCATCCCCCCCCCCCCCCACACACACCACCACAATCATCAAAAATGTATGTCGCAAAAGGCAACATATTTTTGATGTTTTTATCTAAGACAGAGCGCATCTGCTTTAGAGATGAGAAACCAACAGTGTTGAATACAAATAAGCCAGATCTGTAAATCGGATGTGCATGTAAACTCAATTTATGGAACAAGATCAAAGTCCAGAAATGGATGAACAACCAGAACTGTCTGCCGGAGATTACAGTGAACTGTAAGAAGAAGAAGCAGAAGAAGACCTGACCTGAAACCTCATACCAGAAAACATTCTGGGAAGTGAATTCACCTTGTGTTCGTCCATCACGAGTTATGAAGAGCACTTTCATCCAAAGTAGTAATGATCAATGATTATGAGTAGGAAGTTGGCTGATTAGTCAAATATAAGCCTGGAAAGTTTTTGAAGTGAAATTTACCATATGATGTATTGGTCAGTAATAAATGTGGACCTTACACCAGAAAGAGACAATCTACATTCTTTGTTCATGTGATGAGAAGGAGAAAACTGGAATGTATTGTGACTGTAGGAAAGTTGGAGGGGAGGAGAGGCAGAGGGAGACCGAGAGAAAAGATGCTGGACAGTTTGACATCATGGCGTGGAGGATAATCTGTGGCAGAGTTTATTGAAAGTATACGAGACAGAAGGTTGTGGATAGACATGGCTACCAACGCCACACAACATGTACTTTAAGAAAAAGCACTTTACACCAGATACATCTCAAAGTGGGGACACAGGTCCTTTAGTATTTTTTATTTGTCATCGAAGCAATCTTAGATTAATGCAGTGTGGTTCATGCTGGCAAACTCCTGTCACTGATTCTGTCTGTGTCTGCTTCCTTTCAACATTTGCTTTTGTAACTCTTTCAGTCTCAGGAAGTATTGCTTCAACTCATTTTTTCTCAGGCATTTGTAATTTAAGGGTTTTAGAAAAATCTTTGCATATGTCTGGGTTAAAATTATAACACTGGAATAAGAAGAGTTAAAGTAACAATACAAATAGAATGGGTTTATATGTAATAGTTTTCTGACACGAATATGAGTAATTCACATATGAACTTTTCAATACACATGTAGAATTAATTAAATCATTGAGTACCAAACAGCTCAGTGTGCTTTTATTAATAATTGATGAAAAACTCTTACAAGATTTGCATTTCCTACTGCCTTGAACCTCTTCGAGAAACCCTAAAGGGAACATTGATGAAGGAGGCCAAAGGTATTGCACTGGATTTCAGTCATGATACCACAAAGATTGCACAGGATAAATCAAAAAGGAGGAAAAGGCTGCAAGCCCTGTGTTGCATAAAGAACATATCAGGATGAGGATGATGTATTCTTCAAGTTTTTGCTTGAACTCACATTATCTCCTTTGCTGTTTTAACATCCTCATCCTATGTGATTGTTGTTTTACCTTAGTATTTATAAGTTTCAAGTAACAACTGCTTCAGGTAGACTGAGTTGAAGGGACAAGAGCCAGGGACTCGGAGGGTTGAAACAAAAAGCATCTGAATACCTAGCTAGTCACTTCTTTTTTTTTTTAACTGCATTCTAAGCCCTTGAGGTTTATTGCTGCAGATATCACTCGCCTCCATTCACCTCTGTCTCAAAAGCCTTGTAATCCTCTCAACTCGTGAAAATCATTGAAACAAAATTACCTTTTTCAAAATGTTATTAAAAAGAAATGCATCCCTATAATTCTCTAAAATTCTGCCCTAAGAAACTAGAGAAAAAAGAATAAAAATCAGAAGACATTTTGAATGTTGGGCAGTTTTCATAAACATCCAGTGAGTCAAACCCCCCGGCCGGAATCCCTGCACAGAAAATCAAGCATTTAAAGTCCTCAGCTACATCCCGCCAGTCAAATCACTAAAGCAATTCATATAAACTATTATTATTTTAGGGCAAAAATAAATTAAGTAAGAGAATTAATCACAAACAGAGCAAAGAATTAACTGCTTTCCTTCCCTTTGGCTATGATAAATATGGTTTTGCTAACAGCAGTGGGAAGCAATGCAACGTCCTGTGAGATTATCATGATGTAGAGATCACATCGAAAAATTAACAAATGTGATTTTTTTTTTTTTGTACATCTGATATTTCGGATATTTTATTTGGCATTTGTAGTCATACCCAAACTACTGAAAAACCAACACAACAGCCAAGGGCTGTTAAGGTTGGTTCTGCAATGTCCTGTAAAGGATACGCAACTAACTTTGTCATACCCACTATGTCTACTGCACACTGTGCAGTTACAGCCAACATCAAAGCTATTTTTCAGGCTTAGTCGCCCCTGCCCAAAGACCTCTTGTCATAAAAAATCCATAAATGTCAGGAAAATGGGTTTCTCGAGATGACAGGGTTAATGTTCTTCGGGGTTGCCTGAGAGATTTAGATACCTGTTTTATGACAAAAATTAGGTTTTCATGTGTGGGGTGGTGTTACACAGGAATTTATATGTGAATTTCTGCAACTTACATCATTTTCATTATATTGCTGTAGAGCAGCATTTTCAAATTCATATTAAACACCTGCCCTGCATCCTTGATTAGTTCCAACCCTGAGCCTGAGGCTCTAATACCCTCCAACCTATTTCCCCATCTGTCACTCTATGCGTTCAGCACCCTTGATCGTCCTGGTCGTCACAACCTCCATCATGCTATCCTCGCTGACAGCATGACCAAAAAAAACATGAAAACTGTCTTGTCTTAATGTGAGTCATCATGTCTCTTAACTGGCCTCCTACAGTTTCTGGATACTGCAGTAGTGCAGTTACTAGGCACTTACCTGAGGGTCTTTGGTTCAGTTCACACTGAAGTGGGTTTTTATAATTGACCGAGAGCTCTCAGGTCAAGCAGACCTTGAAGTGGCTACCAGGATATGTCATGGGAAGTAAAGGTGGTTATAATGATGTTGACAGTATGCCTATGATCCTTGAGTGCTGATTGGTCTTTACAGATATGGGTCTAGCATCCTTTGTCTATAGGTCGATGCTGTCAAAGGGGTCCTATACCTAACTTCTTTAGTACCTGAATGTTAATCTTATTTGCCATTCATAGGATTCTTAGTCATCTTCATAGAAACCACAAAAGTAGCCTCTCAGATGTCTTTATTTAGTAAAAGTAAAGGACCCTTTTCCAGTTCTTTAAGTGTTATGGCTGTGAACATTGGACATTTGATAAACTAGCCAAACAATTTCTTGTGGCCTACAGAGGAATCTTTAGAATTTCTTATGCAGCAAAAAAGGGCAACCAATATGTCTTTAAAGAGGTGACGGCTCAAAGACAACTTTTCAAAATCATCAGAAAGAGACAGTCATAATTTTTTGGTCATCTTATGAGAAAACCATCTTTTGTTGGTTTCACCAGGGGTATCGAGAGCTGACCATTCAGGAAGCAGTGGCAAACTACTGAAAGTAAATAAATGCCTTCAAAACTGCAACAGCCAAAAAATGCTGGGTTTGGTTCTGCATTGTCCTGAAAAGGTTATACATCTAACTTATGAGAAGAAGGAAACTAGCATGTTGTGATCACTGAAAAGATTTGTGGAAAAAGAGACAGAGGAAGACAACACAGGACGATTCTTTTCAGTATTGAGTCAGGCATGGAGGGGTGTGAGCATATGAACTGAAATAGGCTGTTGAAGATCACAAGAGGTATAATCGCCCACGCCAGTTGGCAAGGCACTTGATGATGATGATGATTGACTGGGATAGTGATTCTAGTCCCATATTTTTATAGACCACATGGCACTCAAAAAGTAGTACAATAATTATCACTCCAGCCGCCTTTACTTACTAGAACATTTCCTGTTACCCGTTTTAGGTTGGGTTGACATGGAGGCCTAGTTCAGTTTTTAAGAGATCATTGCCTCAATGGAGGTTCAAACATATGACTGCTGGGTGTTAACCACTGTGCTACAATGCCTTCCTCTAATTCAGTGTTTCCCGTACTTTTCTAAGTCATGGCACCTTTTTTAAACTAAAATTTGTCCATGGCGCCCTAACCTAAGTAAAAGTATGACTATTCGTATGTAAGAGTTAAAAAAAAAAAACTAATGTGCCTTCGAATATCTTGCAGCGCCCCTGTAAAGAAGTCGCGGCTACCCGGTGCGCCGCAGCGCACAGTTTGGGAATCACTGCTCTAATCCAATGGTCTCCATCCTGGGGGGGGGGGGGGGGGGGTTGAGAAAGTTTCAAGGGAAGGCGTCAGACTGGATTGAGTGCATTTGACTTGTAATAATCCAGATTTTCAGCTTCAACGGTTGTGAAAACACAACAGAGTTACCAGCTTAATTTGGGGAGTGATCTCGACTGTGCTTTGTCCAACATTTGACTAAAAATAGCAGATATCGTTAAGACAAAGCAATGTTGGCCAGCACATTGATATTTGAACCCTAAATTACTAGTTGGTAATTGTTTCTTTTGTTATCCGACACTTGATTTACGTGGATGTTTTTCTCCAAGTTTCTTTGTTACAAGTGCTTAGGATTTTCTTTGTGTTTTTTTTTTTAATAAGCAAATTTTGTTGGGGGGGGGGGGGGGGGGTGTCTTGGCATAAACTCAAGGGGAGTGCCTCCTGATAAAGGTTGGAGACTACAACTATAATCTACTTGAAAATATTGTTGTATTTTACATATGTGTTTCAAGAAATAAAAAGATAATCGCAAAATAAAAAAAGGATATTATTTCAAAGGTTACATGTTACCTATTTTCTTTTTCTTTCTGCAGATGAACTTGAGAGAGAACTCAGGCGAATGCAGCAAGATCATCTGCGTAAAATGCACGAGCTGCAGAGAGAAATTGAAAAGTTGCGTCACGAGAGTATGCTATTGAGGATTCATGATCAGCCATCTAAAATTATAGTGCATCAACCACCACCAGTCCAGATTACCTCTCCTGCGCCAATGCCTGTGGTATGTTGTTTTTCTTCTTTCTTCTTCTTGTTTTGTCATCTCACTGATACCAAGTTGTAACCCAGTGTCGTGGGTTATTTTTCTGGCCAACCAGGTCCAATTGTTTTTCCTCTCCTGCCCAGCCACACGACGGGCCTAGCAAGCTGGCAGTGGTGTAATTGATTGCTACTACACAAGAAACATCATCTATTTTGGCCTATTGGTCTGTAAAATATAGGTCTAGCCCTATATGCCTATAGGCATGGAAAAGGGTTCTTTGCTTTTTTTTTTGTTTACTTTTTTACTACACAAGAAATATTGAATATTTTTTTTTTTTGCTTTAAAATAATGTTACTTTTAAAAATTGCTTTTAGTTCTCTTTTGTTATATAATAGTGACAGTGCTGAACATTTGTTAGTGTAAAGTTTACAAAGAAATCCAAGGCAACCAAGGGGGTTTCCATCATATATTTCCAGGTCAGGTAAGTATGCCAGTGATCAAGAGTTCTTCTTTCTTTTATAACCCATCAGAGCATAGGCCTCAATAAACTTATAGATAACTTTTATGTGGCTTCCTGTAAATTTGTCCTTATTAATTTTCTCTGTCGCTGATTTTTTTCTTCGCTAATTTTTTTCTCAATTTCTTTAACTTTTCATATGTTCTAGTGCAGGCACTTTCTAGTTATATTGTTAGTGTGTTAAGTCAAAAACTGACATCGTAGCACCCAGTACATTGCCATACACGCTCCATCCTCACCTTCATCAGTCAGCAAAGAATTCTAATTCTGATGGCATCAGTAGCATATTTGGTTATGAGTTAGATTATCTTCACAGCACTCCGAACAAATCCATAAGAGCTCAGATTCCCCTCTCAACATATTCATCAGAGTCGCGCGGTTAACAGTGCCAATTTGATTATACAAAAGTGTGTGTCAAAGTGTCTCACATTGTCAGTGTGTGTTTAACCAACACCAGCATATTTTCCTTGTCTCTTCATTCACAGTAGTTTGTTTTGTTCTCTGACCTCAGCACTGTTTTTAGTCTAGGTAATAATTTCACAGCAGACCGGTAACACTATAATTGCTGTCTGTTCCAGTGAAAATCATCCAAAATGCCTTTCAATGTCCTATTTGAAAACTAGTGAAAAAGCAAACAGTTGTAGCACAACCTGGAGACATACACATACAGTCAACACAGAAAGCAACCGCTAGGTGTGCCAGCACTACCAGTCAGCACCAGAATTGTGAATTATTATTAATGGAAGTAGTTATTCCTGACGAGTTGGCCATAGGCACTCAGTTTTACTGCATTAGACACTTTGCCAGCCCAGATGAAGACTTTCCGCTCGTCATTTTCTGAAAATCATGACACAAACCACCACAGGGACAGATGAAGCATTCACACAAGCTACATGCTCACAGTGTTGCACTGCACAAGCTGTGCACTCAGTAATAGTAATTTAGGTAACAAATCTGTGGATTCCCGTTTTGTTAGCAAACTATGGCCAGAAGCAAGCTACATTACAAGACTAAAACGGGCTACCTGTTTATCCAGTCTTATACAAATTAAGTCCTCCTTTTCTGCACAGGCTTAAATATGAAGTCCTCTTTTTTCTGCACAGGCACGATTTATTAAATGTTTGTAGTTTATTTGTAATTGTTTTAGAGGCATTTTTCATGCAACAATACTGATTTGACATTATAGTTAAATTATTTTAAAGTTAGTAAAGATCAATGATCACTGAAGGCAAATTTTGAGGAAGGGAATTAGATGGTTAGTGATGGAAGGTAATGAAGAAGGAAACTACACTGCTGGTGGTGGAAGGCCATGAGGAGGGAACTAGATTGTTAGTGATGGAAGGTCAAGAGGAGGGAACTAGATTGTTAGTGATGGAAGGTCATGAGGAGGGAACTAGTTTGTTAGTATAACAGTAATCAGGAAGCGAACTAGGTGGTAGGTATAGAAGTAACGTGAAGGGAACTAGACTGTTAGTAATGGAAGGTCATGAGGAAGGGACCTAGACTGTTAGTGATAAAAGGTCTCACGCAGGAATTGAACTATATTGTTAGCACAGAAAAGGTGTGACAAGTTGTTTTATGCTCATGCTCATCGAAGAGGAGATCACAGCGCCTTTGGATCTGCCCAGAGTGCTGTGATGATAGTCCTTACTAATCACTGTAATAGACATTTCCTGCTAAACTGGTCTAATGAAGCATCTCTGAAAACATCTGACACTGACAAATGCCAGTAGGGTTCTGTTTAGCAAAACTGGAAAATAGCATGCAGATAGCATTTCGTTTGGGTAGATATTAAGAGATAAACCTGAAGAAGCTTGTATGAGTTCATCAAAAGGAACCAGAACAGAATGTGGAGACACATTAGAGCCAATCTTCAAAATAGAGATGAGACCTCATTATAATGAATAAAAAGTCGGGAGATTTGAGCCAGCATCATTGCACACGGTTATAAATCATAAGTGCTCTGCCACCAGAACGGACAGCTGATAAGAAACTGTCCGCCTGTGTCGTCGTCCACACAAACTCCGTAGCTACAGCGATGTTCCTCCATTCACCCCTAAAGCGTCAACTCTGGTACCCATTTCCTAGAGGCTGGGTGAACCCCAGGAACCACCCGGTTTTGAACACTGACGGTGGCTGCAGTGAGTCGCAGCTGGATTCGAAAGTGAACCTGCTATCGACTGCGCTAACGTTGTTCCCTCATCATTATAATGAATATATGTACTTATCACCCATGTCTTACCTGGGTTTCATATTATTATCATCACCAAGTAGTAGCTCCTTTGCAAAAAAGTTGCTCTCATCATAGCCTGCCTGAAAGAAACTAGGTCTCACACCAGCTCTCCTGCCTCATGCACCCTGCTACCAAAGGCATCACTTTTACCCTATACCCTTGCTGCTCTTTCCTGGCACAATACCTTCTGGTATTTTTTTTTCCAGTCGGCTGTGACGCTTGATGTAGCCAAAATATTTCAGTTTTTGAGATAAGATGCTGTTTAATAACCAGTCTTCCGTGGTATAATAAAATCCTGTATTATTATTCTTTACTCCAGCAAACCCAGTTTGTGGAAGTTGACCGACTAGCCCCCTATGACTATAGGTAAGCTATTACATTTTGTATGTAAAATGTCATTTACTTTTCTTATACAAGAATCTTCCTGTGATTATTAGATTTCTTCTCAAGCACTATGTATGAGTTAATGTGCTAATATCTGTTCAGACTTGTCTTGCTGTCTTCTTCTGTTTCCCTCCATTAATCTTGTTAGTTACTAAAATGTGTTCCAGTGTCTGTTTTCTGTAATCATGTTGACTGTTTCCTTTATAACATGATGGTTATTGTTTCATTGTTATCTTAATGGCTTTTATTTTTTAAACTGCCTGGTTTGGAGCAGGCATTAGCAGTCTTGACTTCTCAAATCAAACTATTATTAGATGTTTTGATGAAATTTGTATTTATTATATTATTATTTGTTGCCCAGCTGTTAAATGTCCTGTAAAGAATACACATCTAACTTTAACTACTGAGCTTATGGAGATGTTTTATTGTTGTTGTTGTTGTTGTTGTAAAGAAACAGTGGATCTAGTCTTAGCTATAGTCAAGATTTCAAAATCATTGAAAACGGTCACCCTTTAATTGCTGTGTTCTATGCAAGGGGAAATTTAACAATGTCCCTCATTGTCCCATATGACTAGTGAATAAACAATTAGTCCCTGCAAAAAAAATCCAGAAGCATGCACACACTGTAAATGCATATGGCTGCTGCTAGAGATGCCAACACCAACAGTCGCCACCAGAATTGCAATAGTCGTTGATGGGAGTAAATATTCACTTATGATGAGCAGGACTGTACATACGCAGAATTTTTGCACAGGGTGTTTCGCTAGCCCAAATGCAAACCGGTTGCCTGCCATTTTCTAAATATCATGAAATAACCGCTGTGAGCATAAGCAAAAGGCATTCCACATGAAATACACAGCTCACAGACCTGCACCAAGCAGTTTACTCAGTAGCTAAGGCAGCGAAACCGTAGATTGCACTCCATAGGAGGAACTACATCAGGAAACCATTGCTAGAAGCAGAAATAACTTGAGAGCTGAACCAACTGCCTAGTCTGTCATCATTTGAATCAAAACTTTGGGAAGCATTTCAGGTCAGCAGTGTCTTGTAATTACTTGAACGCTAAAAGAAATTTGAATAGTTCTATTTTGCTGGACTAATGCGAATTCTTGCAAGTTCCGCGTGTTGCCGTTTCAGCCCTCGTCAGCCGTACGCACATACTTGGGCAAAAACGCATTATCGTCAGGATGTCAACAGTGACCCATTCTATGAGCTGCAACTGTAATTTCTCCCCAGAGCTTTAAGGTAAGATGTCATAGTAATTATCTGTGTCATTCGTCTACAACCATGTTTGTTTTGTATGTCGTATATTATATTAAAATCAAATGCATTTAAAAAAAACATCTTCATTTCTTCTTCGTATTCACCAGCTGTTAACTTTGGGGGGAAGTTCTGTTTGTTCGTCCAGTTCTGGACTTTAGTCTTATTCCAAAACTTGTCATACTGTTGGTTTCTCTCCTCTCAGGCAGATAGACTCGACTTCAAAGGATACACCACTAATTAGTTGACTTTAACAACATGCTTGTTAGTGGGACACTGGGTCTTTTCCTTTTTTCTTCCCCAAATGGGGCCTAGAATCCACACAGGGATTTCAAAAACAAATGCCTAAGGAAACTGATAAACACTGAATGAGATTAATTCAAAAGGAATAAAAAGAAATGTCTGAACAGCTCCTGGTATCAAGAGTTTTAAAAGTTCCCAAAGATGGTGATATATTGGGTACATCCTGGAGAAAAGCAAATAGAGAATCATCAAACAGGCACTGAAATGAGAAACATGTTAAGGAAATGAAGATAACCCTAAGAAGAACAATAATAGGCGAGATCAGGATTGCGGGGTCCAAGATCGAACATATTGGATGAATAAACTGTGAGCCCTATACCTTGTAGAATGGTAAAACAGGATGATGATGATGGTTTTATAACTTTAAAAGGATAAAGGACCAGAATTTGAGGACAGTTTAAGATTTCATGCTGTGTTGCTAATTTTAAATCTTATATTAACGGTAAAGGACCAGAATTTGAGGACAGGTCGAAATTTCATGCCGTGGTGTTAATATAAAATCTTATATTAAAGGATAAATAACTCAAATTTGAGGACAGTTCAAGATTGCGTGCTGTAGTGCTAGTATAAAATCTTTCATTAACGGATAAATAACTAAAATTTGAGGACATTTCAAGATTGCGTGCTGTGGTGCTAATATAAAATCTTACATTAACAGATAAATAACTAGAATTTGAGGACAGTTCAAGATTGCATGCTGTGGTGCTAATATAAAATCTTACATTAAAGGATAAATAACTAGAATTTGAGGACAGTTCAAGATTGTGTGCTGTGGTGCTAATATAAAATCTTACATTAAAGGATAAATAACTAGAATTTGAGGACAGTTCAAGATTGCGTGCTGTGGTGCTAATATAAAATCTTACATTAAAGGATAAATAACTAGAATTTGAGGACAGTTCAAGATTGCATGCTGTGGTGCTAATATAAAATCTTACATTAAAGGATAAATAACTAGAATTTGAGGACAGTTCAAGATTGCGTGCTGTGGTGCTAATATAAAATCTTACATTAACGGATAAAAAACTAGATTTTGAGGACAGTTCAAGATTGCGTGCTGTGGTGCTAATATAAAATCCTATATCTCCCACAACACCCGAACTAGTAAAAAAGGAAGAGAAGAAGAAATGTAAAAGATGTTTTACCTGCTTGTTATCAGGGTGTATAAGGAAAACAAAGAGTAGTAACACTGTATGCTTGTCACAGTAGGCAACTAGGGAGATAACTTTGGCTGCAAAATGCAACTTATTGTGGACAATTCTACAGGAGCCTGGTATGATTAGGTTGAAGACTTATGCTTCACTGTGACAAAAAAGGTAGAAAAACAAAGACAAAATATTTGGTTTTAAGAACTAAAATTAAAATAAAATAACAAATTGAAACAGAGGGGAAATCATGCACCAAGCATGGGGAAATCCTTAGAGGCTTTAAGAGTTTTGTTTAAAATTATTTTTTTTTCTGGTAAACTTGCTGTTTAATGTTAGTAAATAATATGTGATTATGGTTTATCGTGTCATTCCCTGGTAGATCTGATGTTAACATCATTTTTTTTTTTTTTAGTTTGCCTTCCCTGGCCTTCGACTGTCCACAATTTGCTTGCAAGGCAGATATTTTGTTTCTCGGTTTATTTAGTCTTTTACCCTTTGACTTGCATTTTTTGTGAGAGCCAGTCAGTAACTACACTACCTTGAGCATAGCTTTTGGGGTCGTTTGGACATGCAAGCCCCACTGCCATCTCAAGATGATGACAGGTTTGGGCTATCTAGGGTTTTCTTAGACAGTATCTGAAATTGGACCCATATGCCTCATTGAAACTAGCACTACAGGTGTTAAGTGTGAATAAGAGTAGGTCACCCCGTCTTATTACCACATGAGGTAATATACGTTAAGGCTGCACTTCAACTCATTTGGCAGTATTTACCATGAAATTACCCTTTTGATCTTTATCTCACTGTACGAGGAGCAGCTGGCCAAATGGTTAAGAGCACTGGTCTCTCATTCAGGAGATTCAGGTTTGAATCCTTGTTATGATGATAGATTTCTTTCTGTCGGGGGCAAAAATACAATTTTAACCTGCATAGTTCATGGTGACCGCACAAGCCAAGTGACCCTAGATTCTCAGGCTTAACTCTTCATGTCTCAAGCAATGCCTGAAATGTGAATGACTATACCCCTTGATTTACCTCAATAGAATAATGTACTGTCTTATTTCTAACATTTGGTCAGAGCATTTTAAGAAATAAGGCTTTTCCAGTGGTCACTACTAGTATTTATATTGCCACTTTAAAAGTAATGCAATTATGATTGTTTTGTCATGATTATTTCTTAACCTTGGCATCTCACTCCAGCGAGGTCGTCCCCCCCCCCCCCCCCCCCACACACACACACAATTTTAATACACAAGTAAAGACCTCGCTGTATGTAGTAGGTCTGTTCTAACACTCTGACATGTGATTTGTTATCAGTTACTGAAGTTATTAGGTCTGTTCTTACACTCTGACATGGACATGTGATTTTTTGTAAGTTAATGCAGGTAGTAGGTCTGTTCTAACACTCTGACATGGACATGTGATTTGTTATCAGTTGCTGTAGTTATTAGGTCTGTTCTTACACTCTGACATGGACATGTGATTTGTTGTCAGTTACTGGGGGTAGTACGTCTGTTCTAACACTCTGACATGGACATGTGATTTGTTGTCAGTTACTGGTGGTAGTACGTCTGTTCTAACACTCTGACATGGACATGTGATTTGTTGTCAGTTACTGGGGGTAGTACGTCTGTTCTAACACTCTGGCATGGACAAGTGATTTGTTATCAGTTGCTGTAGTTATTAGGTCTGTTCTTACAGTCTGACATGGACATGTGATTTGTTATCAGTTACTGCAGGTAGTAGGTCTGTTCTAACACTCTGACATGGACATGTGATTGTTATCAGTTGCTGTAGTTATTAGGTCTGTTCTTACAGTCTGACATGGACATGTGATTTGTTATCAGTTACTGCAGGTAGTAGGTCTGTTCTAACACTCTGACATGGACATGTGATTTGTTATCAGTTGCTGTAGTTATTAGGTCTGTTCTTACACTCTGACATGGACATGTGATTTGTTGTCAGTTACTGGGGGTAGTACGTCTGTTCTAACACTCTGACATGGACATGTGATTTGTTGTCAGTTACTGGTGGTAGTACGTCTGTTCTAACACTCTGACATGGACATGTGATTTGTTGTCAGTTACTGGGGGTAGTACGTCTGTTCTAACACTCTGGCATGGACAAGTGATTTGTTATCAGTTGCTGTAGTTATTAGGTCTGTTCTTACAGTCTGACATGGACATGTGATTTGTTATCAGTTACTGCAGGTAGTAGGTCTGTTCTAACACTCTGACATGGACATGTGATTGTTATCAGTTGCTGTAGTTA